TCAGCCACAAATCTCTTAATAGTGCGATGATCACGCTTACGTTTTCGTGAAATATCTAATGTTTTCATACCTCGTCCAAGGCATTGAACTATTTCACTCTTTTCGGCAGCAGAGAGATCCTTTTTCTTCCCCATATTGCTTGAAAATGGTGCTCTGCTTAATAATGTGGAACACCGTCCTTTAGTAGTTTTTCATTAAATTGGGCTCACCGGCCAATCTAATTATCACAGGTGTCTGAGATTGTTTTCAGTGATCAAAAGAGCCCTGAGACACAATGCCATCCATGAGATACACTAAAAAACAAAATATTTAATCTTTGTGACACTTAAATAGAATTTGCATAATAACTTGGAACAGGGTGTATATATATATATATATATATATATATATATATATATATATATACAGTCAGGTCCATAAAAATATTGGGACATCGACACAATTCTAACATTTTTGGCTCTATACACCACCACAATGGATTTGAAATGAAACACACAAACATGTGCTTTAACTGCAGACTGTCAGCTTTAATTTGAGGGTATTTACATCCAAATCAGGTAAACGGTGTAGGAAATACAACAGTTTGCATATGTGCCTCCCACTTGTTAAGGGACCAAAAGTAATGGGACAGAATAATAATCATAAATCAAACTTTCACTTTTTAATACTTGGTTGCAAATCCTTTGCAGTCAATTACAGCCTGAAGTCTGGAACGCATAGACATCACCAGACGCTGGGTTTCGTCCCTGGTGATGCTCTGCCAGGCCTCTACTGCAACTGTCTTCAGTTCCTGCTTGTTCTTGGGGCATTTTCCCTTCAGTTTTGTCCTCAGCAAGTGAAATGCATGCTCAATCGGATTCAGGTCAGGTGATTGACTTGGCCATTGCATAACATTACACTTCTTTCCCTTAAAAAACTCTTTGGTTGTTTTTGCAGTATGCTTTGGGTCATTGTCCATCTGCACTGTGAAGCGGCGTCCAATGAGTTCTGAAGCATTTGGCTGAATATGAGCAGATAATATTGCCCGAAACACTTCAGAATTCATCCTGCTGCTTTTGTCAGCAGTCACATCATCAATAAATACAAGAGAACCAGTTCCATTGGCAGCCATACATGCTCACGCCATGACACTACCACCACCATGCTTCACTGATGAGGTGGTATGCTTAGGATCATGAGCAGTTCCTTTCCTTCTCCATACTCTTCTCTTCCCATCACTCTGGTACAAGTTGATCTTGGTCTCATCTGTCCATAGGATGTTGTTCCAGAACTGTGAAGGCTTTTTTAGATGTCGTTTGGCAAACTCTAATCTGGCCTTCCTGTTTTTGAGGCTCACCAATGGTTTACATCTTGTGGTGAACCCTCTGTATTCACTCTGGTGAAGTCTTCTCTTGATTGTTGACTTTGACACACATACACCTCCCTCCTGGAGAGTGTTCTTGATCTGGCCAACTGTTGTGAAGGGTGTTTTCTTCAGCAGGGAAAGAATTCTTCGGTCATCCACCACAGTTGTTTTCCGTGGTCTTCCGGGTCTTTTGGTGTTGCTGAGCTCACCGGTGCATTCCTTCTTTTTAAGAATGTTCCAAACAGTTGTTTTGGCCACGCCTAATGTTTTTGCTATCTCTCTGATGGGTTTGTTTTGTTTTTTCAGCCTAATGATGGCTTGCTTCACTGATAGTGACAGCTCTTTGGATCTCATCTTGAGAGTTGACAGCAACAGATTCCAAATGCAAATAGCACACTTGAAATGAACTCTGGACCTTTTATCTGCTCATTGTAATTGGGATAATGAGGGAATAACATACACCTGGCCATGGAACAGCTGAGAAGCCAATTGTCCCATTACTTTTGGTCCCTTAACAAGTGGGAGGCACATATGCAAACTGTTGTAATTCCTACACCGTTCACCTGATTTGGATGTAAATACCAAATGAAAGCTGACAGTCTGCAGTTAAAGCACATCTTGTACGTTTCATTTCAAATCCATTGTGGTGGTGTATAGAGCCAAAAATGTTAGAATTGTATCCATGTCCCAATATTTATGGACTCTGACTGTATATATATATATATATATATATATATATATATATACATGTGTGTGTTGATTTACCTGGTGCAGGATTTTTTTTCTGACCATTCAGTTCTAAGCACAGTTTTGTCAGGCCAGAGACCTAATTTGTTTTCTTTGCTGCACTTCAGTGACACTTACAGGTCTTTCTCCTCCCCTAGTCTATGATTGGACAGTGATAAAGAGAAGCAACATACTGATGAGCTCATCACTCTGTCACGCTGTTCCCTCCTTTTATCAGAAATCTTCTTGCACTGCAGCACAACAGACTGGACTGTAGTGCTGCTTCTCCCTCCCCTTCTTTGAGGTCTGCTGCATAGGGACTGCAAGATGCTGATACCAGTTCAAATTCAGATGCCTATACTGCTTCGATGTTAAAAAATAAATGTATTAATATAGTAATGAATAAAGATCTGCACTAATTTGTATCATGTTGCTAAGTTGCTACTTCCTCCATTGACTGAGCTTCAGCAGCATCTCATCTAGTAATAATGGAAGTTAACTTTCAGTGATCCTCTACATCCTATGCATGTGCACTATGGGCTCAATTCTACAGAGAGCATTATTTGTTACTTGTTACAGTACCCCCCTGACAATGCTTTCATCTGCTTTTCTCACCAGAAGGACAGAGCCATCTTTGTTCAGGTATCATCCTTGATCATCACCTGTTTCTTGGAGTCAGATGCTAGCTCACAGATGACACAGTCATGTAAATCCAGGTACCTGAGCAGTTCTTGGCTGTGTTCACAAACGTCTAAAACAGATAACCTCCGGCTGCAGCCTCTCACCTTGTTACAATGTTGCATCCTGGGGGAGAGGAGATTGAGAAAACACTTCCTCCTGTCTGCGATTGACTGATTACATCATCTCAGTTTAGGCAAAGTAAATGGACTTGAGATCAAAGAAGGCATTTTAACCACTTCCCGTCCGGCCCATGTATTTAAATGGCCGGACGGGAGCAGTGCAGGAGCGGGTGGCCGTTTATAAACGTCCTCCCGCATTCCCTGCTTATGCACGAGGACACAGCGGAACACCGATCGCTGTGATCACCTCTGTGTGAGGTCCCGATCATGTGATCACTGATTGGCCAATCAGTGATCACATGAATAGTAGTAAGAAAAAGATGTCACTTCCTGACATCATTGCTTACTACTAGTGAAATCTGTGAATGATCACAGAGGTCACATGGTACAAGACTATTCACAGCAGCCTTGTACCATGTGACAAGCTGTGACCAATCACAGCTCACACAGTATTTTCAATGGCTGCAAGAATGCAGCCAGATAGAAGGAGAAATGATTGCTTTTACAACCTTTATTGGTGTAAAAGCAATCAGTGTAAAAAGAGAAAAAAAATCTTCATCACCCCCCACAAGTAGTACAGTGTCACTATGGTGACACTGTACTGCTAGGGTGACAGTATGTAAAAAAAAAACTATAAATAGTAGTAAACAAATAAAATAAAAATGTAAAAACTATTTTTTTAAAAATTATATTTTTTGGTTATAAACTCATTTGTGTTTTTTTTTTTTTATTAAAAAGATAGCTGAATACATTTTGGCCAAAATTTATGAAGAAAGATTATTTATTTGCAAATTTTTTTTAAGAAAAACACTTTTTTTCAAAATGTTTGGACTTTTTTATTTATGTAGCAAAAAAGTAAAAATCCCAGTGGTGAATAAATACCACCAAAATAAAGTTTTATCTGTCTCAAAAAAAATGCTAAAAAAGTCATATGGGTACAGTGTTGCATGACCGCGCAATTGTCATTCAAAGTGTGATAGCGCTGAAAGTTGAAAATTGGCCTGGACAGGAAGGGGGTGAAAGTATTTCAACCTTTGCAGCACATTCACATAGCATAATTTAAAAATATTACCTTACCTTTTTTAGATGCTCTACTCTGGACTTTCTGGCAAGGGAAAAGTTTTACGTATTTTCTTCTTCTTTTCTTCTTCTTTTTTTTAACTCTGAATGTACTATGCAGGCAGATCTTCATTATCAATTGTAAGTAGATTTGAACACTATGAGGATATTTACTAAAACTGCATGGTGGGAATACATGACAATCATATAATGGGATTTTCTCAAGTTTGAATGCTAAAGTGGAAATATGCATTAGGCTAGCTTTAGACATGCCTCTAATCTCCTTTGCCTCTGAAAACCAATCCATGTTCGGTTTGTGCTCTAGAGGCTACTGACAGGCAGTAAGGAAGTGATGCAATGCCCCCCCACTGTTTTAACCTAATTTTTGCTAACAAACGAGTATTGCACGCGGTTGCGGGACATTTGCGGTGCTTCCCCATTTACTTGAATATGTAGCATTTCGTGGGCTTGCTGTGCACCGTTTGATACATGTTGGGTGAACTTTGTTACAGGTGCAAAGCGTAGCATCGTGCCCGTGGCACGTAAACATCTGCTTCTGCTGCCTATTGCAACTTAACCCCTTTGCGCCGGCACCTTCAGGCCCTTTCAGAGGTTTCAGAAGCTGGGAGGCGGGGTGGGGTTTTAGGGTCATGTGACTGCTGTGATTCGCTGTCACAGCGGTCACATGATAGGAAAAGGTCCTGATCGCAAGGGGAGATCGGGACCTTTCCATGAGTCACAGACATATGTGCTGGGAGCGTGCGATCTCAGCACATATGTATTTTCAAATGGTATGCAAATATGCGGCCGCTCGGTGTCAAGTCCCAGATGCCGAGAGACCGCATATTTGTGTGCGCTCGGCATCTAGGGGTTAAAGTATTACTAAACCCACAACAGTATAATCAGTCTGTATATGCAGTAAAGCATGCTTGTTATACTCACTGTGGGACTTAAGGGCTTAATCCTCTACATTGTGTAAAAAGGATGTTTAATCCTGTCTTCTCTGATCCTCCCCTTCTTCCACAGTCCCTGACTCATCTCCTGAACAGAGCCTTGGGGGCAAGTTGCATATGCTCAGTTTGGTGTGTATTGCTAGAGAGTTTTTTTTTTTTTCTTGGGAGAGTGCATGTGATCAGCACAGGGCCAATCAGCGCTGTCCAGACAGAGGGTTAAGGAGCTGCAGTATCAGAGGACAGTGAGAGGAGAATTAAAACTCCTCCTACAAGCTTTAATCAGTACTCTGCTGGACACTGATAGAAGTCACAAGACTGATGAGAAAAGGTATTTAGCAGTTTATATGTACTAAAATAATTGCTTTTCCATGTTCTGTATCCTGTGGGAGACCAGATATAGCGAATGCAGGGTCCTGGGTTTATATAACACTTTAAGGGGGGCCGTTGGTGGGCACTATGCATTTTTGCCACCCCCCACTGCAAATCTAAATGAAGCCTTAAGCTTTTTGAAAGTTTTTATTGTGATATGTCAGCAATTTATTCACACAGACTTTGCAGACATGCCAAATTTTAGAAAGCTCTACTTTAAATGTGATGCTATTTATCATTTTTCTGTTTAAGCCAAGGGTTATTAATTCCAGTTTTTAGTAATACCATAATGATACATTCAGGGGAATTTATCAAACTGGAGTAGATAGAATCTAAAGCAGCTGTGCATGGCAACCAATCAACTTCTATCTTTCGTTTACAAAGCTTAACCTAGGTTCACATATGTGCGGGCGGTGCCGTTGCGGATCCGCACGAAAATCCGTGCAGCCGCACCACCCACACAGAGAAATGCGGACCCGAGGGCAGGTGCCATTAGTTCTAATGGCATGCCGCCCGCACTGGAAAACGCAACCGTACTGGGAACCGAGGTTCCCGTGTGGGCTGCGGTTTCCAAAGAAGTGCAGGGACTTCTTTCTGCATGTCATGGGCATGGGAGACCATTCAAATGAATGGGCTCTAGTGCCCGTGCAAACACGCAGCCCGCACGGCTGTATAAATGTGAACCAGGGGGTACCTGAACAAACTGAAGATAGAAGCTGATTGATTGTCATGCACAGCTGCTCCAGTTTCTGTCTACTCCAGTTTTGATCATTTCCCCCCATTATGTCCTAGCTGTGATCTCCTTCCTCCAATCTTTGCATCATGAGAAGGAGGTAAGCCATTGTAATGCCATCACTTTGAAGTTTCAAGGCATGTAAGTTCACTCGGAAGACTGTGTCCTGATTCACCCTTCTTTATTTAATTTTTTTTTCCCCCTAAAGAATAAATTGAACCATGAACAGGAACACTTTCTCGGAAGAATAAACGGATAATTTCAACCAAAAAAGCTCCCAGTCCTCCATACAGGAGTAAACATTGCTGAGAATATTTTATTGTTATTATTTTTTTGCCCATTATGGAGCACTAGGTAATTATTTGGGGCTGGTTTGTCAGGCTTCACAAAGTCAGGCAATGACAGAGGGAGCAATGGCGTGTTTTATGGGCCTCTTGCATGAATTAGCTCTGATTTATAGCGCGTTGGTTCCCGCTTCATATTCTCGCAAATAATAACATTAAATGTTGCCATAGGAACACAGCCAGGTGTATATCGCATTACCATTTACCTACTACAAAAGGGAAATTGCCATCAAAGCAGCGTGAAACAGAATGCGGAATTCGAAGGCGGTTTTGTTAGCAGCTGCAATATAATAACTTAGTTGTATGTCAAGCAAAAAAAAAATGTTTTTCTAAGTTTTGGATAGAGTGGAGAAGGAGTAATACTCCTGGTGTGTTTTTTACTGCTCTCCAGGGCGTAGAGAGATTTCCCCTCACTTCCTGTCCTGCTAGAAACAGTTTTACGAGACAGAAAATGTGTTAGGGCCCCTTCACACGGGCAGACACGGCCAGCGGATCCGCCTGCTCAGCTGGGGATCTGTCCACTGATCCCTGCTGAGCAGGCGGATGACAGGTCTCTGTCCGCTCTGACACAGACATAGCCCGCGTTCCTTTATTGGTAGTCGGATGTAAACCGACCACCTGTCTGACTGTCATCCGATCCGATCTGCTCCACAGGTGTCTCAAACTAGTGGCCCTCCAGCTGCTGCAAAACTACAAGTCCCATCATGCCTCTGCCTTTGGGAGTCATGCTTGTAACTGTCAATCTTGCAATGCCTCATGGGATTTGTAGTTTGGCAACAGCTGGAGGCCCACCAGTTTGACACCTGTGTGCTAGACGATTCCCATCTGTCATTTTTTTTTTATAGCGGATCGTTTGCAGAAGGGTGTAAATGGACACATAGAGGGCAATGGATGGTCTGATTGATCTGTCTAAAAAACTGACAGGGGCCTTAAAGGGAAACAGACAGAAATAAAAGCTGACAGGAGTACTATCCACCCCTACTCTGCTAAGGAAATGTATTTTTATTTCTGTTTATTGCTGTTGGAGAGTTCCCATCTCATCTCTCCCAGCTCATCTCTCTATCACCCTGCTCTCTCCTGCTATCAGCATACTTTTTGTCAGCACACTGATTGGCTGTTTGTGCTGCTTCTTGTTCTCACACTTCAGCCCTGCTGTACAGGGAAGAGGTTTATTCCAGGCCAAATTTAGGGGGGAATTCACAATGACTTGTGCTAAAATGCATGGAAAATGCATGTATATAAATCTATGCATTTTAGTTGTGTTTTAACGTGCATTGACTTGCGATGATGCGCGTTATGACGTGCATTGACGAGCGTTTTAGCGCGCATTAAAATGCACTGCATTTTGCAGGATTTCCTGTGACATCACATCCTGTGGGTCACAAAATTGAACACAAAGTAACCCTTTTTTCTATACTTGCATTGCCTTGACCTGCATTTTACATGTGTTGACCTGTGTTGTGTTAACATGCATACATGTTACATTTTAACGTCGGTCAGTAAGGCGCTGTGGTGTGAACAGGACACATACTGTAAGAAGCATACAGTAGCTGCATAAATGGACACACTTGCCTAAAAAACACAAAAACAATTTAAACTTTATTAATATCAAACAGTAATTACAAAAAGGTCAAAAACCCTCCCCCTGTAACATTGTCTGTACAATTTTCTGTCCGTATATTTTTTTTAAATTATACTGGGGGGGGTGGGGGTTATTGTTCTTTTTGTAATTGCTGTTTGATACTAATAAAGTTTATACTGGTTTTGTATTTTGAGGCCACGTGTGTCCATATAGGCAGCTACTGTTTGCTTTGGGGCCATAGCCTTTTGCGTGGTTCTCCATATATTTCTTGTGTTGATATTGTGCTGCTGGGGCCACACCTACTAGGTGAGTTGGCATAGACTTTTTTGAATGTCCTACTTTTGTTGCCTTTGTGAATTAATACAGTGACTGCAGAGCTTGGCTGGTGATGCTGCCCATAGGATTCCTATGGGGCCTTCGTTGTTGGTTGTCCCTCCTCTACACTAAATCCGGCACTGGGAGCTGATCTTGTGACTGGACTGAAGAAACTTCAGAATAGATAAGTATAGACATCTTCTCTTTTACAGGGATGTAGTAAAGAATAAAAAGCTGCATTAGTTTGTGTCTTCATAACTGCCTAGAGTTCAGATTTATATAAGCTCAACCACATGGCACTCCAAGGTACTCCTGGGCTTTCCCCTTTTTTTTTTTAAGCCCAAATAAAGTAATTCCTCTTTTGCTCCCAGTGCTGGCAGCAGTGCTACTTTTTTTATTAATAGTTGCCTAGACTTCTTATTTAATGTCTAATCCCAACCATTTTTCCAGTTTTGAATAGAGTGTAAAAGAGTTAAAATTTCTGCAGTGTGGGAAAATTTCCCTCACTTCCTGTCCCTGTGACACCAGAAAATGGGAGGAAGGGTTGTCAATAAGAAAGGAAGACACGGAAAGCAATAACTACATTATCAGATGTATTAACCATTCCCTATATCCTTGCTGGATAGATATTCTTTGCCTTTCAATCCTGACTTCCTGTCAGTTTGTTCCCTGTAAGTTCATGTGCTCATGGAAAGACTCTGTACTCTATGTAAAAATGTTTTTTTTTTTGGCTTTGAAAGCTGAACTCCACAGAAAGCAAATATTCTCTAAATACAAGAGTCATATGTATTCTTACTTGAATCTTGATGTACTTTGTGTATTTCTTCCACATCTGTACAATAATCCAGTGTGAAACTATCCCTCTGTGCAAAACCTTCCTGTTACAAAGACTAGTCAGTGCAGCTATCTCTTAATGTGCAGGGTGACTGGTCCTGTCTCCGCCCCTCCTGTAGTTTTCTGAAAGCAGCTTGTAGTGGGTGGAGCCTGATGGGCCCCTCCCACAGCTCTGCTCTCTACCAGATTTTGTCCAGCACAGTGATGATGTCACTTCTACTTTTAGAAGAGAATAGTTGGGTCTGCAAAGGCTTTTTGGGCATACTAAGCGTATTTATATCCTTGGTGGTTATTAAGAAATATATTCCTCTATTTAGGAGTCCAGCTCCAAAGAAAATGGCAATAAAAAAATATAATTGAAAGCGATAAAATAAGCCCCACCTTTTTTTCACCAAAAAAGAGAACAAGAGACACACAACATTGTTTATTGAGATTTTTTTTTGTTTAATCAGTTTACATTCCACAACTGACATTTTAATAATTTGTATTTGTCATGAACAAATTGTTTTATTATCTATCAGACAGATTTCCAGCTGGGATGGATGCAGTCCAGCCTCCACTTTCAATAAAGATGCAGCCATGTCATCCCTTCCCCACATCATTTCGTCCCAGTGATAGTACCTAAAAGGGATGTAAAAATGTAGGGTCTACATAGTCTCATCACCCTTTTTTTAAGTGTTAGAGCTAGTTATGCCTCATCTGCTCCAATCTTTTAATATATAGTTCCAAATTTCACTCCAACTGAATTCTGCAGTCTCTCTGCTCTTCTCTGGCTATACAGTATTTGTGGAAATGTAACTACCTTAGCAGAGAATCAGCAGGAAGCTATATGGGACCACAGAGGGTCCAAGGAAAGGAATGGGAAGTATAGTTTTTCGAGATTTTGTTGCTAATTTCACTTCAACCAAAAAGTACATTTAAACTCAATTAAAGTTTCATATAAGATTTAACAAGTGTAATTGCGCAGGCATGGTCCACCATTGTCACTATCAATAGGGTATTGACTCAAAGATGCAGGACGCAGCTCTTTCATGAAAT